GGTCATGGTCTCAGTTGTATTCCAGCTCCAGGCCCAGAAAAGCAGCAAAACCAGGTGGGTAACACCAGGTCCAGCTGCATTGACTAATGACCCCCTGCCCTGGAACTGACCAATCAAAGGTTCTTCTTGAGTCCTTTGTTTCTTAAAAATAAAATAATCCTCATGCCAGAAAGACACACTTTAGGATGGCAAATTTTGCTTCCCTACGGGTGCAAGGAGTTTATATGGAAGGAGAGCCCAGGAAGCTGGAGAGAGGGAAAGGGAGCAAAGGGAAGGAAGCAACAGTGTATGTAGATAAGCTGGTTGCTCCCATGGACGATTGGATCTGAGGGACTATGGGAATACCCCTCAAAATTCATCCCCCAACCATATAAAAGAAGGTGTAGAGATTAGCCAAAGAACATATATGCACTGCCATGGACTATGTGTGGTGAAGGCCAGAGGAAAGCTGGGTGGAGGTTGTGGAATGGGGAACAGCTGTAATAGTTGTTTAATAAAAAATAATAATAATAACTGGGGGGAAATGCAGTTCTCAAGGTGAGGAGGCTGGGGAGTTTATTCACCAACTGCCATCCCTCATTGGTGGGGAAGGCTCCTGGGACACCCTGGCCTACCCAGCCTGCCAGCTCACGGGAACTGAGGAGAATTCCTAAGGCAGAGAACTCCTGCCAAGCAAAGACACTCATATGGGGGCGACAGCCTCTGCCTCACCTGGAGACTAACCCCTGTTCCACAGGCGGGTGAATGCAGCCTGATACCTCAAAGACATGACCCTGCTCTCTGAAACCTTCACTGCAATGCTCTGAGATCCCAGAAACCAAGACCAGAGCTGGTGGGAGGCACACCCAGCCACACAAAGATTTTCAATAAAGCAGCCACCTTTCTCCCCTTTCCACTCCCTAAACCCCAGACTTGCTCCTCTGTAACCACTCATGCTAATTCTAACTGCTCAAGGGCCAGGAAACTCCAGTAACCGTGTCCTGTGTCCTGTGTCCTGTAGGATATCCAGTGTTCTCTAGGCTTCCCCAGAGGAGCAAAAGGAATTCTTCATGAGGACCCCAACAAAAGCAGAATTTCTGGCTCCCCCACCTTACATAGTTAGGAGGAACAGTTTGTTCATTCTAGTTGGCAATTACAAAAAAATGGCTGGTTTTTATTACTCTGAGCCATACCCTTCCAGAGAATCTTTCATGAGCTTTCTGAGCTAGGGATGGGTAGAGCGCCACCTGGTGGCTTAACAAGAGTTTGCTAGTCTCTGGTAGTCTCAAGGTGTTCAGTTACAGGTTGTGGAGGCCTTGGCAGCTACACCCCAAGTCCCTCCAGGGTCCTAGGTCTGTCTCTCTTCATCCTGTATTCAAGAAAAGGCAAAAATTGAGGTGCTACAGAGATGTGATTATAAAATAAGTCCTCTGAAGGTAAAAAAGATTTTAAAATTATTGACTATCTCTTCATCTGCCTGTTAGCCTCTTGGGTTCACTTTTATTATAAATCCTGCTCATTTCCCCATTGGGGTTCCTGTCTTTTTCTTGTTGATTTTCAAGCACTTGTGGTATGTCCTAGAGATTATCCCCTGATCAGTTTTAATCGATGCAAAAATCTTCTCCCTAATTTTTGCACGAGCTCATTAGTCCATTTGGATTCCCCTTTGTATGTTGTGCTAGCTGGGGGTCCAGTTTTATTTTTCTCCAAACAATGAGTCAATGTTCCCAACACCATATATTTTTTTATCCTTACTGTGGATATGTGTGTTGATTTTTGAGAGAGAGAGAGAGAGAGAGAGAGAGAGAGAGAGAGAGAGAGAGCCCCACAAACTTTTTGGTGTATGGGACAATGCTGCAACCAACTGAGCCATCCAGCCAGGGCCTAATACCATCTATTTATTAATCCAGCCTGTTCCTTCGACTTGTGATGCCACCTTCATTGCATATTAAATTTCCATATGCAAACTTATTATTATGTGACATGACCAATAAGATGCAACTCTATTATGACCTATATATTTATGGTTTGAGACAGGACATTCACACTAGATGGCTATTGTTGTGTTGGCTGTTGTCTTTTTATTGGACAATCTAAGGGAAAAGAGGTCAGTGCCCCTGCTGAAATAGTCAGGTATTACATGTGTCTTACGGCACACACCAGTTAAAAATAAAAATAAAAATCGCTGCCCTAGAGGCTAGCAGTACTGCAAGTTGTACAGACAAGCATGAAGCTCAGAACCTAAAGGTAGGGATGTAGAGTCACTACTGATCATTAATGTGGTGATCAGGCCTGGGGGGGGGGGCGGGCGGGCGGTTAGGGGAGGGAATAGATGCTTGATGTGCACTGTGTCTCCTCACCATTGAATTACATCAGCCAGTAGAGCATTTGTACAAATGTGAAGGCACTGAGTCCTAGCACCCTGGTCTTCCCTCTCTGCTCTGCCTCCCACTCTCATGCCTTCTTGTGTCTTCTCTATAGATATCCTCCTGTAGCTCCTAGAGCACCCAGAGCCAGAAAAGAGGCCCTCCAGAAAAACCCTTGGGTCACCCTGAGCCTCTCTTGGCTGCTAATGGTGCAGTTGCTTGCAAAAATTAATGCTGTGTCTCATTCAATTAATGCATGCCTCATTCTTCCAGAGCTTAACGAGATTAAAAGAATGTCGGGCGCCTGGCCCCTGAATATGAATGAGAGCTTTGCTTTCAGTCTCTGGCGCCCTTGCCTCCCTTGATGTTGAAACAGTCAGAAGATTAATGCACACCAGCTTGATGTCTGTGCCGTAAACAGGGAGCCAGGGAGGGAATGAAGAGGGAGAGAGACAGGGGGATAAGAACTGCAAATAGAGAGGGTATAGGACACGGCTGAATGCACCAGGCACTGGCTGTATGACAAAATCTAGTGCTGCCATTGGCTGGCATGTGGTGGGACAGTCCAGACCTACTCTGGCCAAGTTCAAATTTCTCTCACCTTCCAGTTAGGGTGGCTGTTCAGTCCTGGCATCTGGGCACTGGACAAATTCAAGACCATCTGAGTTTTCTTCTTGCAAGAAAAAGAATACCAACCTCTCTGTGATGTTTCCCCGTCCACAAAGTGGGCATGACTTCTTACAAGAGGAAGCTGCACTATTTGGTTTATTCTGTGACCTGTGGGTCACCTTTGTTGAACAAATTTTTTAAATAAGTAAAATGTAGATGGACCAAAAACAAAAGATGGTTTTCAATTTTCTATCTTTTATAAAATGAACCATAAAACTTAGCTCCCAGAAAGTTCAAACCATGCTTATTTTGGATGAGCTTCCTCCAGGAGAAAAGGATATTAACTCATAATTGGGTATTTGTTAGCAAAAATAGTGTGTTGATTTGTAAGTTAATGGCAGAGGATGGAAAATCTGAACCTGTTATTTGTTCTTCTGGACCTGTTATTTCTATTAGGGAGAAAATGGACTACATAAAGTAATAATCCTATGCATTTATTCACCAAATATTTATCAAGCTTAAGATAAACTCCAAGCGCCATGCTGATGCCCTGTGACACAGACGTGAACAAAATAGACACATGCCCTGTACTCAAAGACCTTGCCATCTGGTGGTGAATGAAGCACACAAACACTTGTCCTGGGAGGCTGAAAGTGTGGTGCTAATGGAAAACCCGGAGAGCTGGGTCCAGGAAGGCTTCCGGGGAAATGCCTGCTGAACACGGAGGGTAGTCAGGAGGAGGGTGAGCACTGGGGGAAGCTGCTATGCAGGCACAAGGGTGGCTCTGGGATGTTGAGGAGGAAAGAGAGGCCCTTAAGAGAGAAGACAATTTTATGTCCGTTTCACGCGTCATGCAAGAACCCTAGTTGTCCTTATTTAAACTGGGTTGCATGCCATGCGAGAGTGATGCTTGCACAATGGTGTCCTTTGGTCATGGGGGATGAGTAAGGAGTGTCCGCATCCAAGCTTTCACTGTGTGCAGCCCAGCCCCTTCATTTCAAAATTCCCGTGGACAGAAAGACTTAGGTCAGGGGACTAAAATTCTAGGCTCCTTGCCACAAAACAGTGAATCAAGCAGAGAACAATATGGCCCCAAAGGGCAATGTTTGGAGATTAGTGATAGAGGGACAGAAAGCCCATCCTGTTGGCTGCAGCTGAGTTAACCCTGGAGAGGCTGCAGCTGAGTTAACCCTGGAGATGTGACCCACAGGTGGCACAGGCGTGCCCCGTTTCCGTGTGGCACAGGCATGCCCTGTTTCCGTGTGCCTCCGCCCGATTCAGGTTTACACACACACACACACACACACACACACACACACACACAGTCCAGGACTGCAGCAGGCTGCTCCTTTTCAGCTGCCCAGCAAGGAGTCACTCCCACAGGCATCAGAGAGTAATGCCAACTTTACAAAGAAGCCGTAGGGGAGAAAGAGGAGGGGGTTGTACACGCACCCCATTACTAGTGTATGTTAGAATAAGCCACGCAACATTTGTCCTTCCCAAAGGCCTTTCTCAGATACAATGAGACCTAGAGTTCCTCCTTTCCTGACCCTGCACTTACCTACACTCTCCCTGCCCCTCCTGCCCTCTGCCCTCTGTCCTCTGGGATTTCTCCTGCAATATCTAATATCTATTACCTCCCCCTCACTGTTGTGCACAGTAACTTTATTTCTCCTCTGAGGCTTGGCCCCAGTCAACACCCAGTCTCAGAGGCTGGCCTTCCACTTAGAGACAGGAATGTCCTCAACCAAGGTGGGCTCTCCCCGTTGGGAATTGTAGCTAAGTTTGCTAGGGGAATAAGATCGTCCTCAAATAGTTGCATAAGGAAAGGTGAGGGTGGGGTCCCAAAAGGGTGGGTGGGCCCGTCTTCGCCTCCCGCTTGATCCTCTGAAGGTGTAGCCCTCACACCACACCCAGGTTGGGCTCTGGATTCCGCAGCGTCCCCAGGGCACCCAGGATGGAGGACCCTCCAGCCGCACCCGAGACCTGCGCCTTCTGGGAACTGGGGACCAAAACCCCATGTTTCCCTGCCCGCCGTGTCCACAGGTATCCGGATGCTGGACCAGCCGTTCATGACGGACATCATCGAGGCCTCCTCCATCAGCCACATGCCCCAGCTGATCGACATCTACAGCGCCAGCTGGGGCCCCACAGACAACGGGAAGACGGTGGACGGGCCGCGGGAGCTCACGCTTCAGGCGATGGCGGATGATGTGAAACAAGGTAACGTCGGTCCTGCCAACAGGAGGCCCTGCTCCATCACGCGGGTGGAGAGGAGGTGACGATAGAGGAGGAAGGGAAAGTGTGTGGGGGGGCGACAACAGTGGCCACAGTCTCTCTACTCATCCCCCTAGTTTTACATAAAGTCAAAGAGGCCAAAAAAGGAGTTAGGCGTGCAGATTTGTTCAAGTTAGCGTGCAGATCTGCGGAGGACAAAGGGTGGAGCGGGGAGGCCAGAGGAGGCAGGGGCGCCTTCAGATGCAGGCAGTGAGCACGCCGGGCCCCTGAAAAGGAGAGGGTAGAAGGAGGGTCCTGTTCTGCCCTGGTGCCCACAGGAAGGGGCCTGACAGGAGAGCCCGCAGGCAGTGGGGCGTCTGTGCAAACCCCTGCGTGGATCCAGCGGGGGCTGTAAACCCACGTTTCCATGGCCTCCCAGACATTAGCCCAGGAACAGACAGAGCCAAGGAGACGGGACCAAGGCAGAGGGCAGCGGGGATTCTCTTGCTGAGATCCAAGGGCAGCGGCCACCCAGACGAGCCTGCCAGGCTCCGGGGTCAGAGCCTCCCTAGCTTCAGGTCCCAGGTGCGCACTCGGTGTCTAAGCGTCTATTGTCCGCAAGTGACGTGACCTCACTGTGCCTCAGTTTTCTTGCCTGTAAAATGGTGATAACAATACGTTCTTCCTGGGATCTTTGTCCGCTGTAAATGAGGTAAATACACAAGTGCTTGGGACTGGGCCATGCCCCCCAGAGGGTTGGTGCCTGCCCTGGCCATGTGGAAGCTTAACCCACAGCCCCCACACTCTGTGCATGAAGCAGGCTGTGTCACTAGGCTCGTGGGGTCTGTGGATCAGGAATTCAGGTGGCCCCGTGGGGATGCTTGTCCCTGCTCCCCGTTCCTGGGCCTCAGCTGGAAGACTCGTGGCTGGAAGACTTATGGAAATGTTGTGTTTTCACATGTTCTTGCAATGTGCTGAGTTCAGAATCTCTCCCCGTCGGTGCCATCACACCCACAAGGCAGTGTAGTCATTTTGCCACATGAGTCTTCATTCAGGATTGGATTTGCCATCAGGGTGACACCCAGGTTACTTCTCAGCCACCGTGTGGGAAGGCCAACGATGACACAATGGTGTGTAGAGTGAGAGTAATTAGGTCCTAAGTGAGGGGACAGGCAAGAATATGACGTGTAGAATATGGGCACTGGGAAATCCATTTTAGGAATTTTTTTTTAATTTTGCTTCTTGGGTTTTGACAAATTTCAACTAGATGAAATGCCCATAGCCATATTTGGATACATAAACCAGCACTATCATAAAGTGTAAAATGCATCTATTCTATGTATATATTTAAACTATTTACAGTCTGTATGTGGAAATATATAAATTCATTACTTATACATTTATAACACTAAAAGAGGTATAGGGACAAAATACTATTTTTAACAGTAGCCTAAAAAGGTAAAAATATTGAAGAAAATTAGAGCAGACAGGTGAAGTTTACTTTCACTTTTTTTTTAAGAGTTACAACAGGGGTCCTCAAACTTTTTAAACAGGGGGCCAGTTCACTGTCCCTCAGACCGTTGGAGGGCCGGACTATAGTTTAAAAAAAAACTATGAACAAATTCTTATGCACACTGCACATATCTTATTTTGAAGTAAAAAAACAAAACAGGAACAAATACAATATTTGTATTTGCATGTGGCCCACGGGCCGTAGTTTGAGGACCCCTGAGTTACAATATGCCAAGCCTTCTTTTATTTTTTATAGTCACTATGCTGGACATTAGATACCCAGAACTTACATATCATAGAACTGGAAATGTGTACCCTTTTGACCAACATCTTTTCAATCCCCTCACCCCCACCCCTGCAGCCCCTGGTAACAATCATTCTACTCTCTGTTTCTATGAATTTGGTTTCTTCAGATTCCACATGTGAGGTCATACAGTATTTGTCTTTCTCTGACTTATTTTACTTAACATAATGCCCTCAACTTCCATCCATGTTGTCACAAATGGCAGCTTTTCTTCTTTTTTATGGCTGAATAATATTCTACTGTGTATATGTCAACATTTTCTTATCCACTCTTGTATCAATGCACACAGGCTATTTCCATGTCTTGATTGTTATAAATAATGCTGCAAAAGTATGGGAGAGCAGATATCTCAGCTACTGATTCGTGTCCTATGAATATACAGAGTGGGGAAAAAGTAGGTTTACAGTTGTAAGTACAACTGCTACCCCTTTCTTTCCTTCTCGTTGCCAACCATGGCCTCCAAAATCATTCCTTAGCTTTTGTCCCGATGTCAGTTTTTGTAATCCTATTGAATCTAAGCTTCTGAATATGAAGCAGCATAAAATTTGTAAAAGAATTGATTAAATGAGCTCAGCTTGATTAGAGTAAATTTAGGCATGAAAAATCTAACTTTAGATCCTCAAGTTGTTGCTTGCTCACACACACTCCTAGTCTTAATGGGCTAAAGCTCTCCTTGGACAAAAATTGACAGCATCTGGGCCCTAAACAATAGTAAACAGTAAGTCAACCTTAGAACATGGGTCAGCTAACCTTGGCTCACAGGCCAAATCTAGCCTACCAGCTGTCTTTGCAAATAACATTTTATTGGAACACAACCAGGCCCATCAAGGCCTTTGTATCCTTCCAGCCACAATTTCTCTTCCAACCAGAACTGTCACTAGCTCCACATGGGAGGAAGCACATGAATGGAATCATCACTCAGAATGACGGAATTTTCTGCTTAGCCCAGTGATGGCGAACCTATGACATGTGTGTCAGAGGTGACACATGAACTCATTTTTTGGTTGATTTTTCTTTGTTAAATGACATTTAAATATATAAAATAAATATCAAAAATATAAATCTTTTTCTATGGTTGCAAATATCACAAAATTTCTATATGTGACACGGCACCAGAATTAAGTTAGGGTTTTTCAAAATGCTGACACGCCGAGCTCAAAAGGTTCGCCATCACTGGCTTAGCCTGTCCATATCTCCATCTTCATGAGGTGGCTGACCTTGCATGATAGGAGGTTTGCTTCCTCTGGGCAGGGATTGTTGTTTAAGGATTGGCATGAATATGTGGAGAACTGAGCTTGAGAGCTGGGATACCTGTTCCTCATTGGCTGTGGGACTTCAGATTAGTGACTTAGTTTCTCCATTCCTCACTTTCTTCTTTTGCAAGATAGCCACATCAGTGCTTCTCAAAGTGTGGCCACTGGCCCACCAGGGACTTTGTGAGAAACCTAGAATCTCAGCCCCACCCTACCCACCCAACCTGATGTATCAGAATCTGCATCTTAACAAAATCCCATTAAAGTTTGAAAGGATGCGTATCATGTAACCCTAAGATACTGAGACCATAATATATATTGTTCTAAAAGGGCCACTATGTGTAGAAAAGGGAAGTAGAGGTAACTCATTTTCTGGAGGCCATGGCACTGCATGTCCTCATCAGGGTGGTGCCTTGGATGGGTTGACAGCTGACTGAGCCGTATGCTCTACTGTATCTCTCAGTTACAGGAACAGAGACCCAGCTAGCTCAACTGAATGTGTTTATTATTGTAAAGATGTAGGAGGAGTGATGAGGGCAACAGAATGGATTCAGGCAGGACCTTATACAGACTGGAACCAGACATGTTCTAGACCCAAGGTGGCTGCAGGAATCTTACCAAAGAGTGTGTAGAGATCCCCACTAGGGCCCTGCAATCATGAGGCTCGGCCACTCTCACCTTGCTGTTTCTCACTGACTTTATATATTTATCTCTTCAATCAATGTTTTCTCCTCCTTGAGGTTTATGCTCACATGGTACTTCTTGGACAAGGTCCCATTAGCACCCTCCTTTATCACAACCTGTCAGCCTCTACCCAACTGCCATCTGCTCCATTCCAATGTGTTAGGGGGATTTTGGGCCCAACGTTAGGGGAGGCATCTTCCGCCTGCTAGATTCCAAGGGAGGTTCTTTTGGATCAGTTAGAGTTTAACTGTTAGACGGTTGCTAGCACAGCCCCTTTCTTTTCTATCCCAATAACTTCAAATGGCAGTCATCTATATTTGTCCTGGCCTTTCAGCCCTCTGATGACGTTTTTTCTGAGCTGTTGAATTCTTTCAACGGTCTAAACAGAAATATAAGACCATATGCTCCCCCGCTGTTATGGGTTTAATTGTGTCCCCCAAAATTTATATGTTGAAGTCCTAGTTCCCAGTATCTAGAATGTGATCCTATTTGGAAATAGTGTCATTATAGATGTGATTAGTTAAGATGAGGTCATACTGGAGCATGGTGGGCCCCTAATCCAATAAGTCTGGTGTCTGTATAGAAAGGGTAATTTGGACACAGAGAGAACACCATGAGAAAATGAAAGCAGAGATTGGGGTGATGATTCTACGAGCCAAGGAGCATAAAAGATTGGCAACAAACCACCAGACGCCAGGAGCAAGAGAGAAAAGAGATCCTTCCTCCATAGCCCTCAGAAGAAACAAGCCCTGCCAGCACCTTCACCTTGGACTCTGGCCTCCAGAACTGCTAGACAATATGTTTCTGTTGTTTATGCCGCCAGCCTTGTGGTACTTTGTTATGGCAGCCCTAGAAAATCAATACAGCTCCTACTTAGAATGGACAGTCAAAAAGGGGAGTTGGCCAGACCCAAGCACTATGGAAACCACATGGACACTTTGCCAGGCTACTTGTGATGTTTATAGCCAAGATGACTGATAGTTCATCTAAGGACAACTTTTTTCTTCTCCTCTGGGACCTTGAGAGTATCCTTCCTCCATTTTCTAACATAGTCCCTCAAAGGAGAAGCGTGCAAAATTTCCCGTGATATAATGCCGGGAGAGGAAAATGTGTCTGCATTAGGGGCAGTGCCATGCTGGAGTTGGCTCCTGATGACATCACATGGGTAACTTGAAATTAGATATGGAAATTGGCAAATAGAGATTTTTTTGTGCCCCCAGCATTTGCCAGCACACTCCTGGTTGAGGACTACTGACTT